CTTACTATATATTTTTTTTATACTAGATATCTTCTTAACCTAGACATATTTATTACCTCTAGCTATATAACTAGCCTATAAAGTAAAGCTACTATAGATACCTAAGATTAATTTAACTTTAGTACTAAGGAATTAAAAAAGCAGTATACTAAGTCTTAGTATTACTTAATTATAAGCACCTAATAAATATTACTTATAAATATTAAAATATATTTTACTATAGTATAGTATATACTAGGCTTATACTTACTTTATTTTAAGTAAACACCTAAAAAAGCTATTTACTATAGGTATTAGTATTAAGGTTACTACCTTAACCTAGCTACTAGTATAGCTTATTAGGCTTCTAACGCTTCTTAATTAACTTAAAGAATTTAGTAAGAGTTAGTATAATCTATAGTAAGTATATATAAAGTATATACTAGATATATTAGTAATATACACTTTAGTTTAGTGCTAGATATCCTTAGTAATTATTAAGGTAATTACTATTTTTTTTACTTTTTCCCTTATAGCCTAGTGTATTTAAATAACTTTCCCCTTATTAAAATACTTATTAGGCCTTAAAAAGGACTTATAAGTAAATTTATAGTGCTTTATACTACTATATTAGAGGGATTAATACTAGACTTTATTATTTTTTAGGTTATTCCTAGTATATTATTAGTATATACTTACTACTAGTATAAGATATACTAAGAATATATTACCTTAGTACTAAGTATAACTACTTAAATATATACTCCTTATACTTAGTTAAGTACTAAATAGTATCTAAAAGCTATTAAATAAGCTACTAAGCACTAGCCTTTAAGGTATCCTAAGTGTGTTAATATAATATAATATAGTAAAAAATACTAAAAAGTAAAGTTACTAAATAAAAAGGGGGGGTAAGATAGTCTTTAATAGACGTTACTATTATTTTCTTTTTACCTCTATAATTAAGAAAGATACTAAACTACTAAAAAGATTCTTAAAAAATAATAAGTATATACTAAGTATATAGCTAGTATATATAAGGTATATATTAAGAGAATACCTAAGTCTAGCCTATCTTAAATAGTAAATCTAAGGTATTAGCTTTTCTTTAACCTTAATAGTATTTATTAAGCTAGTAAGTATCCTATTTTACTTAGTAATTAAGATCTATAAGGTTAAGATAACTTATATTATTTAGCTATCTACTTAGTATATACTAAGCACTAGCTAAGCGTTTTTTACTCCCCTTAGTATTATCTTTATTAACACTATTATACCTTATATTATCTATTTAGTCCTTATTATTAGATAAGGTTAAGGACTAGATAGGTAATATATAAGTATAAAGGCTAGAGTTACTACTAAAATTATTAAGTATATCTATAAAGATAAAAGAGAAATTAGGTATAAGCCTAGTGTATAGTTTACTAAGGCTAAGTATATACTAAAATCTATCTATCCTTATATACTTATTTTCCTATTTAGTTAATTTATTAGCTATCTTATCTATACTACCTCTTTAACTACCCCTTTAACTACCCCTTTAACTACCTCTATATCTACCTCTTCTTATATATCTAGTGTATATACTATATATATACTAAGTAAGTAGTGTCCTATATATAACTTATATATACTAAAAAATAACTTATAGTACTATACTATACTACGTAAAGTTATATAACAGCTAGTGTATATATAACCCTTTTACCCCCCCCTAAACTTTTGCCCTACTGGCTGGATACCCCCCCCCGAACTTGGAATACCCCCCCCCGAACTGTCTACCCTTGGCCGTCACGCGGCAAAAAGGATCCTCCACCAGTCGGCACCGGTGGCTAAAATGGTCGGGTAATTCACATGCCCACACCGGGGCTCGCTCGCCAACTCGGCCAGTCGCCTTTCCTTTGCGACCTTTCAGGCAAGTTCGTGTTTGTTTGGCTTTGGGACTGTGACCCTGACGGATGGATACTGGTCCTGTCCTGTCCTGTCCTGCGCTGCCTGGCCTTGAACAGAGAGTGGTTTGCTGCAAGAAGGGTCCTGACTTGGCCTCGGGGATGGATGGCTACTCGAAACGCGGCCCCCTATGGCTCGACATGTCTGCTGACGACGGCAAGACTGCCCAGGTTGCCCTCGGTGGACTGACCGATACTTTTTTGACAGGACCCTTTGACGATATGCCGCGCCAGGATGCCGGAGTAGTGTCTACAATGTCTCACCTTGCAAGTGTCTTCTCTCCCCTACAACAAGGTTTTCTGCGCAGCTCACGGAACCCACAGCCTCTTCCAAGCTAGTTGGCCTACCTAGGTAGCTTGCAAGACATGGAACCCACGAGTGACCAGATCGCATCGCATCCCGGAGTACAACCATGCTCCGTTCGCCTCGACCCGATTCTCACCAACTTTGTTGCTCTGCTTACGGGCAACGGACACGCCCTGTCTCGTGTTCTCTTTTTTTCTTTTATTTTTTCTTTTTTTTCTTGAACACGCTAGAGCCCCCCCCCCCCCCTTATACCTCTCAACTTCACACTGCGGAGTACGGACTTTTGCCGAGGACTTCTCGCTCCTCCAACTCTTTATCCCTCGTGACAGCCCAACGACAAGGGAGCTAT